ATTATTCAAATGATGAATTATCTGCCTCTTATGATGAAATTCTTGAAAAATTTGAAAAACTTGTTTTAAATCATTCAATCCTCAAAAAGAAAAGTTCTTTATTGGAAATTGAGGTAAATAAACTTTTAAAAATTCAAAATGATTTTGAAAAACGAAAAGTCAATTATGATTCTTTAATTAAGGAGAACTCTTCTTTACAAAAAAGATTTTAGATTTGACTCAAATTATTCACAAATTTACTCGAGGCAAGAAAAATTTTGATTTAATACTTGGTGAGCAAAAATGTGTTTTTGATAAAGGAAGAATTGAATATAAACTATTTTTGAAACAGAAGTCTCTTAAAAATTTCTTTGTTAAAGCTTCCACTTCTCCTATTTAAAATGTCACATGTAATTTTTGCAATAAAAATAGACATGTAGCTTTTTATTGTTCTATCAAAAAGAAATTACATTTTGAAGACAATTCTAAGTAGATTCAAAAATCCACTAACACTAACTATCGAAAACCCAAGGATGTATGGGTACCAAAGACCAAAAATTGAATTATTTTTGTATGTACCAATGAAAATAGAGAGCAAATGGACATTACACAATGGATGCATAAATCATGTGACCGGAATTCAAGCTTTATTGTCAAGCTTCAAAATAAAGGATGGTGGAGATAATGCGAAAGGAAAAATCATTAACATTGAAATTATTGATCCTAAAGATGTTGAAAATCAACATGAGGAAGAAGCAAAATTTGCAACTAGATGAAGAAGAATCCTCTGAAGTATAAAGTGGCCAATCTCTTTCTAACCAATGAAACCAAACAAAGTACATCATGAACATTTTCAATAAGTTTGAAATGGAAGAGTTGAAATCAATGAACGCTCCAATATGCTCATCAATCAAAAAGGATGATCAAGGTACTTCCATAAACGTAACAAAATATCGATGTATGATCGGATCTCTTCTTTACTTAATCGCAAGCAAACTCGATATTATGTTTAGTGTGTGATTATGTGCTATATTTCAACACAACTCAAGAATCACACTTTAGTACCATATAACGAATTTTAGATATCTTAATGGCCTTAAGATGTAGTATTCTAAAAGCACCCAAAAGTGGTATATTGTATTAGAATTTGTGAATAAGAAAAATCAATTGACCGATATTCTCAATAAACCTCTAACACTTGATAGATTTTCATATATTCAAATAGATTTAGGAATTATTGATGAAGGTGGCAAAATTAAATTCATACTAAATGTTCTCGTATGATTTTATGTGCATAATTGGTTGGAACTTATGTAAATTTTACACAAATGATTATGCTTTTGTCATTTCATCACTTATGTTTTGATTATTATTTTACTATAAATGTGATTATTATTCTCTTATTCAAACTTGTATCTTGTGCTTAATTGAGGGGGAATATATTACTATTTTTATGGTTGGTTTAAAGTTTTGATCTTATATACAATAATCTTCCTCTCATAGGTGCTATCATTTTCCTTATGATAAAGGGAGAAATTGAGTAAGATAAATTTGAAAAATATTAAAAAGGGGGAATCTTTTATTATTTCTTATGGTTGTCTTTTGATCTTAAATGCTATACCTTTTTACTTATCTCAAAAGGGGGAAATAAAGTGAGATGATTATGCATGCTTTGATTTATAATATATTATGCTTTAAATATATAATTATTGATTTGTAAAAGATAGGAGGAACATGAATTGTATGATAAATTTATAATGTATATTTCTTTATCAATTGTTCAATCTTACCTTACAAATCATCTTGTTTGTCATAATAAAAAATTGAGAAATTGTTGACATATGGTTGATTTCATCCTTAATGTTTGGATCATAACAAATAAGATTACTATTATTTCTAACAATTGATTTTGAGTGATGATAGTTCAACGTTAAAATCAATCATTACCAAAATCAACACATCATGAATCGGACTCGAAATGAAGATAAAGGTGAAAGTTAAGCATTCAAGTCAAATCAATTCGAGACGAGAGCTTAAATGATCAAAATAAGACTATCAAATCGGGCTTATGAAGAAGAACAAGACCAAGAGTTTAAGAGTCAAACATGAAAGAAACTTCGAAACAAGATAAAAAACTATGCTTTCGAGATCATATGTAAAGGTATAACGCTTTGATCTTTAGTAATGAATGACAATAGCTCAAAAATTATTTTGTGCACGAAGAGTTATTTTCATATTACTTTTATAAAATATTTTTGATCAAAACTAAGAATGATTTTTCAAAATGTACTTGAATTTAGATCATATCTAAAA